AAAAAAATTGATTTAGGTCAACAGAAGAGAGGACCGAAAAAAGATCGAAGTGAAACGAGGTATAGTGAGAGGTGAATGGAAAAGGGAGATTAAAATCAGAAATTGAGGAAACTTGTGAGAAAAAGTGACTTATTGATATTAAGAATCTTGTTGATTTTTCTCAGTGAATGATTGATGAATGAATTGTCATCGTGTTTTCATTCAAGTCTCACGAGAGAGAAAGAGAAATCGAGATTATAAATAAATCTTTTGATTCTTATATATANAGATTAAATTGAATCTTTGAATATTCAGCTATTTCGTTCGATAGACAAATATAGAGTAATGAAAAATGATGAGTGTTAATCGCACGAACAGGAAGGAAGCGACATGATGGTTCCTCGAAGCCAATTCGAGAATGACATTTAATCAACGTCCTGATCGGGTTAATCGCGAGTCATTAACAAGACAATCGAACGTGTCGGTCTTTCTACACGGTATTCGATCGGAGAGAAACTCCTCGTGGCTGTCACATATCGTAGGTGTATCATTATAAAGTCTGGTTTCTCCTAGAGCACAACGTATCTGAACACTTGTGAAAGCGGAATTGCGCTTTCTGCGACGAAAAGTGTCATGGAAGATCACGGTGTCTGAATTATGGCGAGAATTATGGTGTTTGCAAGTATCAAAACAGTGAAAGATTAAAAGGACTTCCAAAAAAGATTTTAACGAAGGGAACATCGATCATTGGAGGAAATACATCCGTCCTTTCGGATGAGAAGTGAAAGAGATAGTTCTTGCTGAGCGAAATATCAACAGGTATGTATCAAGAATGATTTTTTATTGTATTTTTTTTTTTTGTGAAAATATAGTAAGTGTGATGTTAAGTTTTTTAAATTTATATCTATATATCTTAAAACTTATACATATTCACATACATGCATATATATATATATATATTAAAATAAATATTAAAAAATTATAATATATAAATAATATATAAATAATATAAATATTATATATTATATATTATATATTATAATAAATAATATA